CTAATGGGAGGTATCGACGCCTTCAAGATGTACGCATTGGCCAACACACACATGCTGTTTCGTCTAGGCCTCCTCCAGCTACTATCTACCGATTTAACTAGAGAGTGGATAGAAATGAGTCAGCCAATAATTAGAAAGATACAGAATGAATGATTGTCACATTGAAAAAAATAGCAACAAATGAAATATGAACAGTAAAATAAGCATCACTCCTTCATTCCCTACGATCGGAAAATCCAGATTTGGGATAATGTTCGTGGTTGGGTATCACGTTTCAACTCAATTTTGAATTGCGGTTTTTCGGCAACAAAGCTAACGCGCGCAGTAGTACCGGTGCCTACGTAGATCGGGCCTGAGATTTCGGACAGAGCGGACCAAAGTCATCTAGTCCACTTTCTAGGGCAATCACGCCGAAAACAGGGCATGAGAGGGGGCGGGGTGGGGTGGGGTGGGGGGGGGGAAGGGATGCAGCACATTGTACTTTACACAGAATCACGTTGTACACACGCGGTGTTTCTACCTCTCAAGGTAACACACTTGGAGCAGACTTTAGGAAAGAAGTATTCATTTTAATTAATCTCAAAAAGTTCATTCATGCCCTTTGATACCCCACCCCTTGTCCCGTGAGAAGACATAAAAGAGCACATCTTTGCTTCTACGTAAGTCTATTTCAAAGGGGAAGAAGTCTTTATTTATTCGTTGTACTTTGAAACAGCAATGTGCCTTGTACAGAAATTTAAATATATAAAAAAAGCCGGGTTGTGCATCGGTGGACGAAATACCATTCTGATTCAAAATGTTCAAAAGAAGAACAAGCGAACATTAGTCCCTCTTGGTGGCGAGTATGAGAGTTGAAGCTAGTGTTAGAAGTGTTGTAAGTTCAATAGGAAAGGAAATCTACAATAAATCGCCATTGTAAGGAAATGGCAATTAACTGGTAGTTGACTGATCGATCAGCGGGCATATTGAAATGCAAATGTACAATATGAGGGAAAATGAGAGTTTAACAGTGCAAAGGGGGGGGGGATCAAACAGCCAACTCCCATTACCCATGAGAATTTTCTCAACTCTCAAAATAAAATCTGATTAAATTCAGGGAGTCGCCTAAACCATTATAGGAGATGACAGTTTAAACCAGCAAGAATGGTTGATAGTCTCTCTCGTGGAGAGTGTTGAAAAAATATTTCTAAAAAAACGATCCAGTCTACCAAGTGAAATAGAATAGGGAGTAAAGACAGTCAACCGAAGGAAGCATAAACATCAACCCAAGGACACGACAAAAAGGAAGACGACACTTCAGGGTCGAAAGATTAAACGCAATCAAAGTAATTGGCTCTTATCGCGTTTTCGAGTTTCATTCCACAAAGCGATTTTGACTTCAGGTAAGATTTTGGAGGAACATCCCCACTTCAATGAGGGAGAGGAGTGGGGGGGGGGAGGTGATGGAAAGCCAACTAAAATTAGCCCAGTTGGGGTAATATTGTCGTATCTCGGGCGTGATCGATTCCCATCTCCCCCAATTTGTCTACTACCGCCTTCATCTATATATTCAAGTGCACATTGCCTCTGGGAACTTAAGGGCTAGGTTGGGAAATAGCCTTATCTGTCCAGTGGGACTGTCCTCAAATACTTCCAGTATGAAAACAACCTGTATTACTCCTTTGGAAAGCATTTGTTTGATTAATAAAAAGTGTCTTGTAGAGACTGCGATTCTACCATATTCGTTCTCTCTGCGTTCAAATTGATTGCAGAGCGGGTATATCACAGATGTAGAAAGTAACCTCTCCAGAATTGCAGAAGCATAAAGAGCCCCACTTCACAAAATAGGTCATTAATCAAATTGATAGAATTGACAAACACCTTCACCCAAGTATTTGTCATTCTCTGTAGTCAACTCCTTACTAAAAAATTTGCGGAATTAAATTTAATTGATTGAGATTTTATGCTTTCAGGGCAAAAATCACTTACAGACCCCCCCCCCCATTTTCTTTCTTGAACTCTGCTGTGTAGCGACAAGCAAATAAACAGAAACAAATGAGATCCTGCTGTTTTGCCTTTTCCACTTATTTAAGTGATGAGTCAAAAATTTGGCCCACTGAAAAGTTTTAATCAAGTTTCACATAGGCGTTTTTTGTGAAGAATGTACATGAGGATAGAAGTTTGAGAAACTAGCTAGTGAATAGAAGTAGTACTTAATAATTCAAATTATTAAGCACAAATTCTAATTACAACCTCAATGAAAAATCTTTTTGAACTTCGCTCAAGGCAACACAAAATATCCAATAATATGCCCGATCAGGAGAGTAGGACGACCAACTGTCGCATACTTAGTCCAAAATGCACATTTAGACATCAAGAGGCAAGTGGACGCACCTCTCACGATGAATTCTTTATGTTCCTTTGCCCTTCCTTCACCCACTTGTAGACAAACACAAAAGAATTGATACACTTAGGATTGGGAAGGACGCGATTTGGCATCCGGAAGGTGGTGTCGCGAATCTGGGTCCCCAGAGGGAATTAAATCCAGAACGTTGATTATTACAAGGTTCGCACTCTTAGACCCACAAATCTCCATGTGAGAACGAATGAAACAATTCATACTTTGTCTAAACACTATAATAGGGGTGTGAGAAAGACTTACCTCCACGTGGTGCAACGCATACTTATGTGGCAAAAAAATCTGTAAACCGACAGTTGACTTCGAACTACCATGACCCGGCTGCATATCATATTCCACCACTTCCACAGTACTCATCTTACCTCTTTTACGTCTGTGGATCACTCTTCAGTTTTCATTGTCGACCTTTTGTGACCTTGATGTTCCTCTCTCTCTCTGTTAGGCCTGAAGTCAACTAAGGGGCCAATGATAGCAATCAAAACGCCTGCCATTTGAAATAAATAAATATACATAATTGCAAATATGGACTTTACTAAACATTGAGCCGGTGCATTGCTGCCATTTCATAGATCATGAGTTTGGGCACACGTCGAGGGCTCCATATGATCAACTGTATTGATGAATTATGATAAAGGGGGGGGGGGAGGAGTATAGTGCGAGTTATTCTTGAAATGTAATCGATATCTGTTCACAGCAAAGGTACTGAACTCTTCCTTAAGGCGTTCGAAAACAATTTTAATGTCATTCTATTGATATCTGTTAGGGATCACCAACATACCCCCAGAAAGTCCCTTCCTTAAAAATTTAACGTGAACTAACAGACCTCAGTAAGATTTCAAATTACTCAATAGACCAGATTCAAAGTACTTCTTATTCAAAAATGACTGAAATGAGTAAAAGGACTCTAGGGGTTAAATAAGAGGAAATAAGGTTCAATGGTCCAGTTATCATCCAGAACAAAAATTTGAGCGCGTGCGTGTGTGTAAGTTAAGAATTTGACCAATTGATCAAGAGTGAGTTACACAAACTCACAGGGTCTCGGAATATGTGAGTTCTCTATCTCCATTGCCCTCGTTGCTTGGTATAAATCGTAGTGGGTCTGCCTGTTCCTTCGAAACTGGAGGTAGAGGTAGCGAGAGGGAGAGAGTGAGAGAGCACAAAGAGTGAAAGTGAGTGAGATAGGAGAGATTACGCTGTCCCAAAAACTGGGCAAACGTGTTATTCCCGAGCAAGCACATTCACACGACATATTCTCCCTCCTGACTGACTGATACTTCCCTCTCAGTTGATTAATCATCGCTACCTACTGATACACCGCTGAAAATACTCTCTTCTAAATGCTGTTACCAAGATTCCATGTAGTTTCCAGTGAGCACTTGGATCTAAGCAATCATGACTCAATTAGGTGAATACAGAATCTAGAACACAGTCAGCACTGAGTGCCGTTGGCAAACATATGTCGCAATTCAGAGGAAGAAACATGGAATTCGAATTTGTGTACTAGAACTGGCAAATTAGTGTGCGTACTTTAGAACCCGATTCCAAAATCAATTGCAATTAGATTCGTTGATAGCTTTACATTGCCCCCGCAGCTTTTCTTGGACTTTTTGTTTGTCAATTTCAATTTCCTCCCATATCTCGCAAAATGAATCGTATAACTTGTTCTAGCTCCAAACTTACCCCACATTCAAGTATTTCATTCAAATATTTGCGCATTGATAGAATGGGAAAAGAAGTGCCGAAATTCACAATAACAACAATTATTTTCCAGAATAACGCAAAGCCAAGTTTAACCTCAGTAAGGACCCCCCCCCCCCCCCCACCAACAGATATCAGCTCTTGGCTGTCGCACGATTTAAGCCTTCAAAATAAGCTCTGTTGATGCTAGACTCGTAACAAAAGACGCTATTGCCGTTTGAAACATTTTAAATACGTGTCTATAGCCTTCGTCTGATACACCACCAAAACTCATCGCCTCGGCAGCATCAGTTCGCTGTGAGACAGGCGTGAGAGTGGTTAGAGAATTTTTTAAAAAATAATTAGGGTGTTAAAGGGGTTAAGCAACCAATCGACAAGTTCCTCATATCGAGAACATGGAATCACGCCGGAGAAAATCTTTGAATTTGAATCTTGAACAACTAGTATACGGTACAATAAGCTATACGAATTAATAAGAATATGATAAAAGCACAATTTCATCAAATTTATAGCCTACCTCTACCTCTTATCGTCTTGATTTAATGTTGTTTTTTTTGGTTTTCAGTGCCTATAATTGACTTTTCGAACTTGCAATTGGTGATAAAATTGCATAATAAAAGTACGAAGACTAAGTCTAGAATTTTCTCTAACTCTGGAAGCAACTTAATTTAATTGCATTAAAGTAGATTTAATGAATCACTTCAAGTTAGGTTGTTGAGTCGTTGGTGCCTGGCTGGGAATGATTGGTAAAATGTTAGAGGGGCATTTTAACTGGGAAAATTGAGTGATTCAATAAGCTACTAATTCACAGTTCATAGCGAATATAATTTCAGATTATAATTATTTTGGACTAACAAACCAGTGCGATCCCCTATCATATATATATATACGTAATAAAATTAACTTACTGGCAAACAGGAATTTCTCTAGCAGATAGAAGGTGATTATCCGGATCTACATCAAATTTTCTGTAGTCGTCAATATACGCCTCAGTAGTGAAACACCTAGGGAAAGCCATGAGGCAGACAAGCCTTTTCGCCTGTTGAAGGCATCGTCTACGAGCGCTGTCTGGTGGTGACTCCTTTGGCACCAAGTCATCCCACTTTTGAAACGCCGAATTCAGGTAATCATGAATAGTATCAGCTCTAAGTAGTCGGGAAGTAGAAATCGCGTAGACACTGTCTACCGGTTTTTCTGATTCCATAATATCAGAACATGGGGAGGGAATTTGAAATGGTAGGCAAGTTGATCTATAAAGGACCAAAAAAGGAGTCAGAATTGTCGGAAGATTTCAATTTCCCCATCCAATATTAGGTATTACACTCACCGGTCAATCAGTAAATTTAAACCAGCTCTTTCTTTAGAGCCTATAAAAAGAAGAAAAACAGTAATGAGGAGTTGCGATAAACAAGGGGGTACGGGTGGGGGGGGGGCGGCTTTAAGATACTGTTTAAGCAATCCCAATACAGAGAAAACAATCTAATGGCCTTCTAGAAAAGTGGTAACAACTCGTTCTATGCGTGTCATGCTGTTGATTCAGTTATAACTCTGCTTTCCTCACATTAGTGTTAGCTGAATGTTGACCAAAAGAAGAAGAGACGACGAATGGGGTCCACGAGGTAGAAAGCAGTAGACCCCCCACACACACACAATAGCCCCTTCTCCCTTGTCTAACTAAATGGGACTAACCCTCCCCCTCCCCGTTTTAGTGATGTTGTGTTTGATCTACTCAACAGACAGTTAGTTCACATGACCTAAAGACTGACATTACGGGTACACTTGCCCACCTGTTTTCAAGCAAAGGGGAATTATTTAGCTTGCTTTAATTGTAGGACTCAGTTATGGTCAATTCGATGTTAACACGCCGATGCTTAAACAGCAGATTTTCCCCTTATAAAGAAATTTCTTATGAATTAGGATTCCCTTTCTGTCAACTGCAAAGCAATGAGGGACTGTTGGTCATGTTTTTAGAATAATGCTTAATCACTGAAATCTTAAGTCAAAAGCAATGCAATTGATTAAAGTAGATAAGTTATCAGATATTAAATGTATGTAATTAACTTGAAACTTTTAACAGGCATAGTAAAGTAGGCTTTATTTCTGTGACTATTTTGGCCTGTTCTCTCTTGCCAAAAAAGTTTGTCAATAAAACAGCCTGAAGCACATGAAAGTCAAATATGAATAAATTTTGGAAAATGATGGCTTTAAATGGGGGAAACCCAATTCAGATGAGACAAGGCCTATCGATGAGTCAGTAAAGCTCAGCTCCAGCACGGTTCAAGTGAATGAAAGGAAAACCTGATAGCTCTCGATTTTGACTAACGAGGACGCAGTGAGATACTCCTTGCGTAAAGTCTAAAATCCAGTGAAAAATGAGAACATGAATTGTTATAAGTACTCAGGCAATCGAAAGAGGAGCATCCCACAGCCCCCTCCTCCCCCCCCCCTATAATGGGAAACTGGCAGTATTTTACCCTCCTAATGATAAATATTTGGCTTACTATTGAATTTATCACAAATCACATTGAACCAGTCGGTGGAAATATGCTGATAGCCAATGTAAAATACCAACATATATGCAAGTGTTTGTTTTAGACAGTCCTAAGCATTTAGGAGATTAATCTCATTCTCTAAAGTATATGCGACAGCTAAAGAAGAGCAAATTGGAGTAAAACAGTGATGACATATCTAAAAATTATCTTGGGTAAAATAAAAAGCCATGTTTTAAGCATTTAATTGATTTCGAATTTTGCCTAAATTGGCTCGTTTGAGGGAGTCTTTGACCAACAATTATCTTCGCTTTCCTTTGGTCGTAGCATTTAAATTTTACGATATCTGATCAAGATGACCAAAAGCAGTTAATGAAACACTGAAAATTTTCTTCGCAGAAAATTCTGCTATGTTGGGTCACTTTAAGCATATATTACTTAAGTGGGGATGAACGTTTCAATAGATGCCAGATTTAATCTTAGGAAAGGCAATTTTAGGCTTTCTTAACAATATTTCTTAAAATGGTTCAGAGTTTACTTGCCAGTTTGGATAAAGCATATTGAAATACTTGGGGAATCACAAGTTTCTTTCTGTACATGTTCTTGACACATTTCAATAGAAAAAGTAGTCGACTAAGTTTTTTAAGTGGAAAATTTATGGCAAAGAAGAATTCGGGTGCAAAGTCTGAAACCAAGAAGAGCGTTCCTTTCCTCCAGTTTATTGCTATCAAATCAATACAAGTCATGTGACAAATTGGTGCAAAAGTAGATCAGTAATTTCAGAGGAAGTGCTCCAAAAGTAAGAGTGAGACAAATGGAAGTCTCGCTTGAAAACCCCTACAAGTGCACAATTTGTGCATTAAAACCTTTACAACTGTTGTTGGATATAAGCAACACAAAAGGCTCATCAATCAACTTCTTCCCCTCAGACCTGATATTACTGAGACAGAGGTTATTTTTTGAGGAAATTCATATTTCATTATAGAGAACGATGATTGATGATTTTGACACTTTCCCAAAACCAACAGCAGAAAGCGTTCTCCTATTTGAGGTGAGTAATAAACAATAGAATGAACAACTCGTCCTTTGCCTTAGACACCAAATATGTGCATTTAATTGGCCCTTTTAACATCCTTTTGCAGATTATCATCAATGTCTCAACGATGAAAGGGAGAGCACACACACATGTCCATTAGTTGAAAAGGGACTCACCTCGAAGAACCCTAATATATGCAGAAGCATTCTCTTCTGCATAGGCATTGAAGGCGCGGCATTCAACCAGAGTATCGTTGAAGATAGGAATATGCCTCTGTGGCCAAAGCTAAGGCAGAAAAATATAAGATTTAAAAAGTAATCGAAAGTAAATTATCAATTTACGCGCAGATACCAGCTGTTATAAATCCCAGATATGGGCAGAAATTGAGGCAAGGTAGGAAATTTGCCTTGAGGTTGAATGATAAAAATCGACAAAAAATAAAAGCTACACTTTAAAACCCTATGAAAAATTCGAATTTTGCGTAAACACTTTACAATAATGAAATATGACATCGAATATGAGCTATAGAAAGTTTTGAAATACCCATTTAGGGATTTAAAGCCAAAAGCAGAAAAATTCTTGGTGAAAACTAAAATATACTTTCAGAATCAAAATCTTTATACCTCATATGCCCCTTATGAAAGCTAAATATCTACTACCCAGCTTTCATGAACACAAGCATTAGATGAACATTTCCTTTACTCAATATTTGGAGGTAAACAATTTAAAAAGCAACAGCACATGTTATTTGTCAGAAACTGTATTCAGCAATGAATGAAACCATTTTTATTAAAATTTAAATATCTCTATTTAAGACTGTAAAGCTAAAAACATTTTAGCAACAATCTATTAAAAATGTCCACAGAACCCAGTCAGTCAATTAGTAAGTGCGGATCGAAAGACATAGGCCACAGCAAGTTACATTATTTAACCTAAAAAGTCAAAAAATTGACAAATCAGAACACCATGGAAATAACAACGCTTTCATAAAAAACTTGCCCTCGAAAAGTATGAATTTCCCCCAAATTTTTAAAGGCTGAATTTTCGACCAGCCGACGCAGACGGACCTACGGGCCTTATATACTTTGTTGTTGCTAGCAATAACAATTAAAAAAAAAACATTAAATAATTAAGGGGAAATGGCCTGACTCAGATCCCATGTGATAAACCAGAGAGCTAAAAAGTGACATTCGGCAACCGCTAGAGTTCGAATCCTAAAAGCCTAACTATCATGGTGCAAAGAAGATTCATCATAATAGAAAGGGGAAAAGCTATTAGAATTTGAGGACTTTTTCAGACACCATCTCTTATTTTTACTTAATCACCTAATATTAGAAAAAAATGATTCAAAATAACCTGAAACTACACCAGCACAAACTTAATTATAGTAAAGTAAGCAGAATGGTACAAGGTGAACAAACACACATTTAACACCAGCAAATAAGTATATTAAATTTTTCAAAGAATAACTCACTCCACCATTAACCCTGATTTCAAGTGTAGACTTTATACCTCCTGCTTTACAGTTAATTTCATAATCTTCACCGTAAGACACGGTAATGTTTTGAAGTTCATGTTCTAGAAAGGCTGGCGCTAAAACAACGCAAAAATTATTAAAATAAAGAACTTCAAAGCCAGTACGAAAAGAAAAATCATCGTTGACGTACTAATAAGTGAGATGACATAGGACTGGGATTCCCCAAGAACTGCTGTTCCATTTGAAAGAAGAGCTAAGCCCTGACAACCATAGATGTGGTTGATATCGGCAAAAGTGGTGATAACACTTAGTGAACCATTGGATTCATAAACTTTCAACTTGTCAGATGTAGATTCGGTGATCAAATCATTGTTTCGATACCAATCACGTCGAGAATGGACAGCATCCTCAACTTCGGGAATAGGACATGGGGTAAGGGTAACCGTTTCATCAATTTTGGCGAGAATAACAATAACAGAAGTCACGGAGGAAGTAAAAATTATAATACAAAAGATAACAGCAATCTACAGAAAAAGAACAGAGTGAGGAGAATATTCAGAGATACTCCAGGTTTACAAACATATTTTCGAACTTACTTTGAATTCCATATTCATGAAAACCACTAAGGCATTAGACATGATTATACAATACAGATTAAATTTGTTTTCAAAAAATGTAAGAAATGAAATAACTTGGAATTATATATTCGATTGGTGGAATGATAAGGCTGAATTGAGCTTAATAGGCCCCCTAATCAAGGGTCAGGAAGCATCAATACGCCATCGAAGACCTAACACGACTGTGAAGACAGTTCATTGAGAGTCGCGGTTACGACATAGAATGATTTCGAGTGATAAAGAAAAACAAATAGCGCTGATGTTAATTTTACAAATAAAATATGATAATATAATTTGAAACCTCTAAATAATATTTAATAAGATTTTAGTTTCACACTTTACATTTTTTGTAAATTTTCTCTATGTTAATTATATATGGGCAAGTTTATGGGTACATTTGAAATATTCCCTTAGATTATCCATTGAAATTTTTCCTAACTGCAAAAAAATGATTTCAAATGTCTCTTTATTTTTTATTAAGCCGATTCATTATTATTAATGCACCTTCTTGCGAAGTGTTATTTGTTCGAAAATTGATATTTACTTCAGACATAACTCTTAACCCAAACCTTATATGATTTTGTAATTTATTGGATAATTTTTTTATAATTATTTATGTTATGTTGGTTTTAAACCATTTATACGAATATTTGCACCATATATGCATTTCATATTCCTTTAAATTTGTCCAAACATTAATATTTTTTGTTGATTGCAAGGAACTGTTCTTGATGCTTGTCAGTTTACTTTTGAAAATTATTTTGGAGGTAATTAATGTACCTAAGACTATTATATCGCATTTTCAAGGTCGGCGATTTCTGACGCCACAGTTGGGGGCTATTTTGGGCTCGGTTCTTCTCTTCGTCTAGGAGTTTTGATGTTTTAAAAGTATTTGGCCTCTCTTCTCATAATATTTATTAAGTGTTTCTTTTGTATTTTATGTAATTTTTTCTATTTACCACATTATCATAATTTTTAGTCTTCAATATGTCTCGTATTTTCGTCAATTCAACAGTTGAAGAGCTCAAGAAAGCTGTCGTTGAGGAAATTCACTCTGTTCTTATAAAAACGACAGAAAATCGAAATGTTTCTGTCGGACTCTCGGGTGTGTTATTTTCTTTTGAATAACATATCTGATATGTTCTAAATTTTTACCGGTGTAGGTGGTTCAATGCCAACACAGATTTCTCCTGGTCTCTTGGCATTAAAAGGTGTCGATTGGTCTCGTGTTCACTTTTTCTTCTGTGATGAAAGAGTAGTCCCCTATGATACCCCCGATTCAACTTTTGGTGTCTATCAAAAGCTGCTCTTCTCAAGACTGAATCCGCAGCCTGTTGTTCACAGAATCAATATTGAGGCTGGTTCAACGGAAGAAGTGGCTAAGGATTATCAGGCCGAAGTGCTGAAGTACTTTGGTGTTGAAAATGGTTATCCTGCTTTTGATCTTCTTCTTCTGGGGATCGGTCCTGATGGTCATACATGTTCTTTGTTTCCTCAACACGAAATTTTAAAAGTAACGTTCCCAGTCGTTATTGTTTTTATTCCAATCTATTTAGTCTGTTAAATACCGATTGAGTCAAGAATGTGCGTATTCCATTGAGTTTCTATTCCTCAGTGTTTACAATCTTATGAGTTGTTTATTGTTCCTTTCTTACTGTTTAAAGCAGTTGAAATTTTTAAGTCTGATTCAAATGCACTTCATTAATTATTTATTTGAAGTTGCAACACCGATGAATTTTATTTTGCTGTTTTTGTGTGATGGTCTTTCATTATCCCCATTGTTTTCTTCAGTGATCGTCCTATTTCTCGCGACCTGGTCAGATTTGCATTTTCAGGACGAAAGGCGTTCGGCGGTGGCGATGGGAGTAACCCACTTCGTCCTTTACTTGTACAAATAACGAATTTTTATATGATTTAGAAATGTTGTCGAATCTGAATGAGTATTTTGGAGATAGACTTTTGCTCTCGATCTTGTCGATGCTGGTAGTCAATCGTTTAGGCATCGACTAGAATAACTTTCATGCTTCATTTCGTCTTGGGGATTTTTTAAATAATGAATTTCCGATTCCTTTTTTCTTTCCACTTTCCTTTATCTGATCAAGCTCTATTTTCGTAGGTAATTTAAAGGAATTGGTAATGCATTAGCACACTTGATATTTATGAGTTTATTCTATTCTTTGTTTTATTCAATGGTGAAAGACATTCCAACCCCCCCCCCCCCTCCATATCTACAGCTTAAAAGTGGCCGGTTTGAAATGGTACATTTCAGATAACCTTGATGTTGTTCTTGGAAGAGACAGCCAGTACATCAGAAAAATGAGATTCGCACTTGAGTACTTTGGTTTGAATGTGCCCAATATTACATTATTGTGACAGCATGGCAGGCGGGATATCGAGTGAATGTGAATGAATTAGCGATTAGAAAGAACAATACGAACCCTTCGTGTTAATTGAGGCGTTTTCAGGGGTGCAGATGAACGTTAGGTTGGTAGAACAGACCTCAACGGTACCACTTTCAGGTTTATGTGGTGGTAAATCACTGAAGAATTTACTTCTCCGTTATCTTCTCATGTCCCTTTATCTTTGTCGTCTTGAAATTATTTCCAATTCTTTAGGTAGAGGATTTAGTAGTTGCAGCAGTCACAGATAGTCCGAAGCCACCACCCAATCGCGTAACTCTAACCCTCCCCGTAATCAACAAGACCAACAAGGCCATATTCATTGTCACTGGAGACAACAAAGCAGAAGTTATTAAGGTAAGTTGGCTTTAAGCTACATTTTCCATCACCGTACCCAGGCGACTTGAGTGATTATTGCTAAATACTCGTTTTTGTCAGAAAATTCTGGAAGATGATCATCCATCAGAAATGTATCCAGCAAGTATGGTTCAACCACTGTCTGGCAAGCCTTCTTGGTATCTCGATGGAGGTGCTGCAAAATTGTTGTCTTCTGCGAACTAGTCTGAATCCTGATTTCATTCCATCTAATTACTCCTATCCTTGCATTATTGAGCAGTGTAGTTGTTCTCAATAAACTATGCAAATTTTCTTGTGTCGCTTTCTTCTTAATAGTGGTATTAAAATCGTTACTTTTATAGACATAAAATAATTTAACATCCATTGAGTGACTATACAATTATACCACATCTGCAATTTCATAAAAATCGGAACTCCTCAGTATAAGTTGTGCCCTCCAATGTGGCTTGTTAATTTCGGGTGTTGGAGCCTATCTGAACTCAAATGTCCCGATCAAATATAATTGGTCACTGAACAAATTTTCTAAGAGTATATAAGTCATCGATTTTTCCCATATTTGCCCATTGAGCCTACTCTCTTACTTGAGCAAAGTAGACTTACTATTTGCCACCATCAGTTCGCTACTAATAACAAATAATCTGACATATTTCTTTCGATGATGAAGCTCGCATAATTGGTTAAGGGGTGGTGGTTTCTCTTTTAAAGCTGAAATCTCAAACGAGGAAAATATTGAAGAGATAACATTAGTATTAGCAAAAGTTAAAACTCAATTTAGTCAGACCGTACCACGCAAAAGTAGGAAGGGGAGCAGGGAGCAATAGCCGAAAGATACAGCTTCATTTTACCAAAACGTTAAGATGGTGCTAATTCATGCGACCTTTTCCCAACCATTGCCATCTTCCTCCTCTCTTTCACTCGAGGTATCTTCCTCACTCTCCAAAGTCAGACTCACAGTATGTGAACGCGAAAGAACGAGAGACTCTGACCAAGGTTCTCGGAAGTAACGTTCTTCCAACGGGGAACAATGACTACCCGGAGCTTCTACAAAGTATCTGCTAGCCTATAATTTGAAAAATAGTAAATTTATTATCACCTACCTACTTAAATCGGATATAGATGGCGTGTGGTCAACATACCAAATAGATAAGAAGGGAGCGTTTCATCGCGTCGCTAATGCCTTTTTCACCCAAATGAGAGGGGAATGGAACCGAACGACGAACTTCCATGGAGAGACCTCCGTAGTCATCATCATCATCGTCGCAAGCGAAGTTCAACATCTCCTTACGGAATTCACGTTGTAGGATGGGTAGCATTGTCTCACCAACAATTCCATTGTGCTCGCGATAGGATTCTAGCGAGTTAGAACAACGTACTCGAGTAATCAATGTGAAAATAGAATTTATTACACCTTTTAATAGGAAGGTCATCGTATGAACAATTCAACCTTTTTAGCTCTATAAGGATGTCTAAAAGGGATATAGAAAAAAAAGTTGCCTAAATGCTCTTCACGAATTAGTCAACATATAAACACGGGAATTGTAGATTCTCAATATAAATATCGAACCATGGGCGGTCATTTCGCTTCAATCGAACATCGATTAAGGGGTCCGTTTCACTGTCCTTGTCAAAAGTGCAAACTTGAGCACTTGCCAAGTTTGTCCCAAAACAGAAGTCACAAAACTAGCTCCTTTAGTACACGCCCATTAGCTATGATCGGAAGCAGATTCATACAGAGTCCATTACTTAAATCAGTTATTCTAGGGTAAAACTTATTGGTTATAATTTTAGCATACGTGCACCAGGGAGAGGAGCATCCCCAATGCTATTTGACCAGCTAATTTGATGTCAACTCTCTGTCACAGCTCTAGGTTCATAATAAAGACACGAGAAGATCCCTTCATGGAGGTAGTTTCGTTATTTCCCCCCCCCCCCGCCCCCCATTGGGTCCGATCAACTACTGTAACAAATGCGTGTGTGTGATTTTTAAGGAAATTGAAAGCACTTCTGGAAATTTCGAATGCTAAGATATATCGAAGCTACTATAACTAATAAAACTTGTATCTAACATTATCCACCTATCAGTGAGCATCTCCCCCCCCCTCCCCCCCCCCCCCCCCCCCCCCCCCCCCCCCCGATTACTAGAAACAAATTTCATCAAGTTCTTCCAGAATCTAGAGCAGAATGGAACAGGGGTCACAGTGACAGAGCCTAAACCTCATGCCGAAAACACAGCAAATACGAGTCATAAAAACCACAAAGTAAATACTCTCTCCATTATGCGGGATAAACAAATGAAGATAACATTTGTCAATCTTGTCTTTGTCGTGAACTACGTTTCAAATTTTATTGCCTATATAGGAAATAAAGAGAGGGAGAGAGAGAGAGAGAATGGGTAATACATTGGACTTCAAAGTCAAAATAACAGAAATAAAAAGATTTCACAGATGAACCGAATAAAAAAAAGTGAAGATCAAATCAAAAGCCATGCAAGTAAGAAAGCTTACTCTGCTGGGAGCTGGTCATTGTCAAATAAGACCACAGCAACGGCTCCGTGTCGGGATTAAATAGATGTGGGAACCTAATACATTAATAAAATATTCAGTGAAATATTTTAACTTGAAAGCGAAATTATACCCCCACCCCACCCCACCCCCCACATCTTATATTGCGATGAATTCCTACCTGTATTTTAACAGGCTCAAAGCAAGGAAATTCCCACGATTTGAATCCAATGCATTGTCAGGACTAAATGAAATGGAAAGAAAAAAAAAACAAAATTAATCATTCAATACAATAACACTTCACAGGGAGAAAAAGTAGATATGCGAATTTCGGCGGCGAACTCCAGAATTCGCGTAATATGAATCAAATGGTAGGCCCGTCTTGAAGACCTTAAGAAATTATGAAGTGTGTGGGCGGGGGTAGCTGTCCAAGACACCGAGGGCACTGTTAATAAGATAATATAACATAATCATATGAGCATACCTACATGCACATAGAGTAACACGCGAGTCAAGTGAGCACTATAATGTTTTAACCGAACAAGTACGGCCAGTGTGACCACTTGGAAGAGCAGAGCATATACTCTACAAAATTTTAATTACTCGTGATGAAAGATAATGATCCTGATTTGTTTTTATCATTTTTATAGTTCTATCTTAATTTTTCTGTACGTCTTACTTGTTTCCACAGTATGATATGTCTTGACAAAAGCAACTTACTGCAAAGTGTTCGTTTTAAAGCCCTTAAAGTGTAGGTTCGTTGTCAGCATTTTTATGCCAACGCATTCGTGAAGCACCAAAACAGGACGGTGCTAACAGTTCTCCTTTGTAGCTAACGCTTGTTAAGTTGTATAAGCAAACCGCATTGACGCTAATATCAAGGTCGTGTTATTTGTCCCCCTGATATTGGAAGAGGAAAAATTGATCGGAGTAGGAAGACCGATCAACACAATTTGTTCCGAAATCAAATTTTCGATCTTGAGCTGCGCATTAAAAGTGAGGACTACACTAAACCAGACACACACCAAAGAAAATCAGAGTGACCTAAGACTCTCTGGCAACCTGACTTTACTTTTCAGCATCTTTCCGAGTCGCCTCTGCCTTCGCAATACATTGGACCCCCCCCCCCGCCCACTGTTGACCAATTTCGATTGTTCTCCAACACAATGAAAATAGCTCCTTTTGTCTGCCTTACAGGCCCGCATCCCAACAAGAGGAGACACTAATTCTCCCGAGTTATGGGGAATAAAATTATATATATATATATATATATATATATATGAGAAAAACAGAAAACGAAATGCAAACCTAAGAAGGTTTTTGCTCCAACAGCAGTAATAACACAATATGATGAAGTTAGAATAAAACTTAAAGAGGATGCAATAATATCAAACTCTAAGCAATCGGAATACTTGTCAAGAGATATAAGGATAGGCTTTTGTTTCTAATAAGAATGCCTGCGTATACATTTCGCAATAAAATGAGAATCTGGCAGGCAAGCACGGGATCACGTTATTATTAAGAGAGGTATTACCGCTCGAGAGAGGGAACTCGTACTTGGAGGTCCCCGAGATTAAGAACCCACTGTAAAAAGTGAGCAATTGAGACAATTCTACTCACTTCAAAAAATGTACAGTAGTAACCTTGGAGAATGTAGAGTTTCAATTTAGACTTCAAAAGTGCATTTAACACTACATGACTGAAAAACGCCTGCATAAATTTTCCCACCATGAAGGCGCATTGATGGCCTCAAGAACCACCTGTTGTGACTCCTCTATTCGTTGATGAGTCATAAGGGCGTTAGTTGAGACAGGATCTAATATTCAGACTTCAAGACACCTCAGCAAACTCGTTTCTTACAAGTATTGCATTATGCACATTTTATCGCACCCAATTATAGCTGTGTAAATGAAATAAACCTAGTTGAATGTTTAATTAATCACAAGGTGACTCCATGGTAGGCCATTAAAATAGGCAATACGCAATAAATATAATTTCTAAACCCAATAAGATATGAGAAGCATACATAGAGTCCTTAAATTCAATTACTTAGCAGAAACTAACTCCTTCGCCATTAACCCGACTTAAGAAAGTAAAATGGTTCGACTCTTATGAAGTGTATGATCTCCTAAAATATGTAGCCCCTACATTTGAAGGTCATCAACCATCACTTAGTCGAAAGTGGTCAAATGAGGGGGTAGAAGGTGCCTGCACAAATTCAACAAATTTCACCTTCAAAATCAGTCATTCAAAATGTCCGACTTCAAATCGGCCAGTAAGTAAATCCACGGGAAGAAGAAGAAGAAGCAGTGAAAGTGGTAAGACAACAAACCACTAGAATACACTATAAATTGCAGCACGCTATTCAAAAATTGGACCATCACAATCACAACCTCCATACAAATTACTAATGCATTTTTGAGTGGTAGAAATGGAGATGGCTACATTTAAATTCTAAATACAAAATAAACGCACTCAGTGGTGATGACTTCATCGTTACTTCGCCGAATTAGACGGATCGGTCCCGGATACCTGAAATGGGAGGAAAGGGGATAAGATAATTGGCATAATGTAAATGAACAAGAGACATTATTGCTTCAATAGCATCAATAAGGTAGATCTGGTGTCAATAATCCCCCCTCTCTTTGTTAGAAGAGAAATGAACCAACCATTTAAGTACAAAGAAAAATGGCCAATGAGCTCTGAATAACTCCAGTGGGAAACTTGGGGGGGGGGGGTTAAGTACGGAAATTTGAACTTTAAAACACTAAAAGGCTTTGTGTAATGAACTGAATAGAAAACAAAAAATGCCCATAATAATCTAACATTCTACTTGACCTCTTCTCTCCAGTAACCATTATTGCACTTTCTTACTCACTCCCATTTTAGATGTTTTTTTCAACAATTAACTATGAATGGCATGTTTTTTTTATAAAAAAAGATAATTAGAGCAGTAATGGAGTAACATATGCGGCTGAAACGCACCTGGTGATCAATTCGGCGTTGTTTAGATCAAAGTAACGCTGGACAACTGCCACTGGAATCGTTTCTGCATTCGCAACAACAACAACAATAATGGCAAAGTAGACATGTGTAAAACTGGGAAATTAAAAAGAGCATTTGCCTATTAATCTATTCACTATGAATTTCTTACCACCAAAGATTGGCACAGTGCCTCTGCTCAAATCATCTAGCGTATCGAATGTAGCATCCAAAATCTAGGGGGAAGTGAAATGGAATTTAACACTTTAAGATATTGTTAAAACAAAGAACAAAGAAATTGAAGTTGTTGAAAATGAATTAACGAGTAAGAAAATATCAAACAACCCAAATCAAAAAACTCAGACAAAGTTGGTGTCTAGCACCACCACCACCACCCCCCTCCCAATTAACACGCCCTCAACTTTCTGATAACCCTCCGAAACTGTTATTAATGAGGAGGTCAGATATGAAATATTTACCGCAATTAAACACCAAAATGACTGAGCAGAAAATCCCCCTATCTCTTGTGATAGAATTGCAACAAATGACAGACACACCAACTGCATATTGATATGCAAGTATTCTTCTCCATGAACGATTTCATAAAATAACTCTGACCATTACGTGATCATCATCGAAACTAGGAGAACAAAGATTGAAAAGAACTACAAGATGTGATCTCCCGGCGATGAAGTGTGCAAGAAAGCGTCAAGAACTCTCCACAAAATTCAATGCCACGGCTTCCAGAATGGAAAGCAAATTTCCTATCAAATCTCATATTATGAGTTCTTTTCTGGTTCCGCTTTTTATCAGTGACAATGATTTGGCTTACAATTACCATCAATGATTGAAGGGAAATTTTCTCCCCAAAAATAATCTGTATTGAAATGGGAAATTACTAGCATCTCAAGACTTAAAGGAGTCGATTTAAAAACAAAATCGATATGTAGTCGCCGTAAACACTGGTATTTTTGCACGAGATGCTGTCATTATAAGGAAATGGGGAAAAAAGGCCTAGAGAGACGACTTACCAATCCCCCGACACGGGGTAAATGCATTGCAGCCCAGGTAGCAGTGAAACCACCAATAGACCAACCAAATAGACGAATATCTTCAGGCTCAAAGTGTAGCTGGTGAAGAGCAAAGAGAACGACCGCCTCAATTGCATTCTGCTCTTGTTCCGGAAAGGGCATACCCTAAAGAAGTAAAAGAAGAGTAAACAGCAACATCACTGATCAATAATATCTCACATTCTTTAACATAAAATAAATACTTCATAAATGGGGTGCGCGACAGACTGGGCAACGTATACTCATAACGGCAAAAAAGTTTATTAACTGGCAGTTGACTTCTCACTCTATGTCATATTCGACCACATTCACAGTACTCACCTCACCTTTCATCTACCTTTGTGACTGTCTCTTTAACACCTTTGAAACACTCTTCTGTCCCCCCCCCCTCTCGACTTTTTTCGATTGGATGTTCCTCTCCCTCTGTGAAGCCTGAAGTCAACTAAAGGGGTAATGATAACTATCATAAAGCCTGTCATTTGATATAAACAAATATTTCATAAATACTTCTCAAAAAATACCCTTAGACTATACGTTTATCCCTAACTGCTAAATATTGCTAAGTCTGTAATCAACAGCGTCTAACGCAACCAGATATTAGTGACAAAGCCGAGCCTTTCTGTTAACTACCCGAACGCTTGTTCCTCTCTCTCTCTCACAATTTCGTAATCTCGACGTTGTTGCAGAATGCGACTATATTTTTTCATTCCATTTTTTTGTCGCTTAGACTTGGAAAAGACTGTTGCATACAGTTAACCAGAAGGAGGATTTTCGAGTTCCTTAAGGGGCCATAGTCGATCCAATCAGAATCAAGCTCCGCCAATTGTAGTCAAATTAGATCTTGCAAGCATGCTTTAAAGTGGAAAAATAGATACTCCCGGTATTACTGTCTCTCGGCAAATACCTGCGAGATGCGAAGGTACTGGATGGTTGATCAGTACAAAATTACCAACTAGCGGACCTATTTTCCCGCGGAAAATTACAATAAAGCCAGTAAGGTTTCCTCCCGAATTCCAATGAAGTCGCGTTGGAAAAACAATGCAAACCACAAACATTCCGATTGCTTACAGCTCAAATTCAGCCTATTTGAACCACTTTAACGATCTCTTATCATGCTGAACCGAGAGTTCTTTTTAAAAAAAACAAAAACAAAAAACAATCTACCTTTGATGGAATTTTGCCAAGAAAATTGCACTTATTTTGTGGGGAAAACGCACACTGTCAAAGTGAATGAATAAAAAATTAATTTTCTTTATATCCTATTGCGAATTCAATATAAGTTGGAAGGATAACAAGGTGGTATTTGCAAGTGTAATGAAATCAAGTGTTCACCAAATGGGAATGGAGTCAGCTTGAAAAATAAGGGGATTAATTGTATTAGCGCAGTCTCTACGTTTATCCGAAAAAAAGTTACACTTGACTGATATATTAATCATGGCATAGATCACTTATAAAATCCCTTCAAGAAAGAAAATTTCAGGTAAGCCGTGACTGTGATTCGTTTAAAAACAAATTCCGGATGAGCAAGAGATGGATTTCCTTAAGAGTAATTAGCTAACTGCGCTAATGTCTGCTCTCGTCTTGGGTACTTGGTAAGTCTAAACATTAAAAGGGAAAAAACACCATATTCTGAGTGACAACATATCTACCATGAGAAGTTGCATTTCTTTCCCCATTTTCCTAGACATTATGAACAAATCGACATAAACAAAAACAGTAGAAGCTCGTTGAAACCGTAAAGAAGAGCAAAGAGAAGAAGAAGAAGAAGAAGAAGAAGGCGCGGTTGGACTGCAAAGACGTAGCGGCAAATGACGACGTGCTGCAGTAACCTGCTGCACTGTAACCACCTGACTGGCTCTTGGTTGACCAGAGCGTCCGCTTAATACACTTTGAGAGGTCAACCGACCCAGTCGCTTATTTCATGAAGCAATCGATTATGAATGGGGGATAACACATGTTGTCGCAACGTAGGTTGGTCATTCAGACTGCTGGTTATAACAAAATCAAGTAAATTAATATGGAAGATAAACGAAATCTAATTAAGAGGAAATAAAAAATTGGATTAATGGGCAATCGATAATGGAATTTGGTCACAAGTAAATTAAGATGAAAAAAATTAAATTACCGGCTTTAAGGACTAAGCCTCGCACTCAATCAATCGTCCTCTTTAATAAGGTTGAGGCAAGAATTCCCTCAAAGAATTCTCGAATGTACACATAATAAATTTAACACTTAACCAAAAGAAAAGTTATAATCAACAAAGCATGAACTAAAAGGTCGCTAACTTAAAGGTTTAATTTAGATGAAACTATTCTGTTTTGTTTTACACATAAATGTATACATATGGACCTGTGTGAGTAAATTCAGTAAGACGTTTCACTAAAGAATGATATAATACAGATAATATGAAGTCCGATTCAATCCCAACTGAAATTATTTCAAATAGACTATAAGAGCACATAACTTCGTGCAGAGAGTAGCTTTACTGCTTGTTTTTAAAACTAACTGAAAGTGCTACAGAGAGAACTAACAAATAATCCGAAAGCACCGATTATACATTATGCAAAATTTAGACACAACACTTGAATGAAAAAATGCGATATGCGGAAAGTGAAAAAAGCATGCTGAAAGGCAATCAAGGTGGGTTTTCAGGGAGGCATATTAATTTCAGTTAATATATTTAGTAATACAAGAACTCGTTCACTTATACAAAAGTCAATACTAAGGGATTAAATAATTCTTGAACCTGATAAAGGCTGAAGGTTGACAATAGGAAATTATGTTAAGCATACCATAGAGCTGCCGAAGCCTGGGTGATTCCAAGCAAGAACCGAGTAGCCCTCATTCAAAGGTACCGAAACGATTCCAATCTCTGAGTAACTAGTGTTCCCTTCACAACAGATAACCTATACGAAAAAGCCCGTGTATGAAATAAAATATTGTCAAAGGGGTGAGTGAAATCGCAGAAGCTCACCAAAATATTGCCCGTTTCCGTGTCGTCATTTCGCCGATCAATATAGAATGATTCCACAAATAGACCCTCTCGTGTGATTAGTCCTACTCGTCTAACACTGAACTGGAAATATTCACAGAAAGCAAAATGATAATAACATTCGGAAATAAAGAATACTCAAGAGAAGTGGAAAACAACGGCAAACGTTGCGTAATTATACTTTACATATTTGGCAGGTTATGTGGGTTAATTTATTTTCCTATTCAACTATTGAAATAACTATGCATATTGTTTATATGAAATAGCTTATAGGAACAAAAAATTCTGCCGGTTTATACCGTCTTTTACCACATGTGGAATTAATGGTAAGTTCATGAAATGAAAGTAAATCACAACATGTGCGCAGACCAAAATCTTACTCCGTTAGATACTTAGGCAAGCGAAAAGAAACTGACATTACAGAAGATGACGTGTGGTAGTTCTGCAATAGCATTTAGTATATCTTCCATATAGACAGCAAAATGTCACTCCTGTCTCCAAAATGGCTGATATAAAGGAAAGATGTTGACATCATCGGCAAGATAGTCCACCTTCATGACGCTGTTTTTTTTTTTACAACCGACTACTCTACACTACTAAAAGTGTAAATCATTAATTGGAGAATGAGTTGAGAAATACAAACTAGCATTGAATGCAAATTCCCAGGGCGCATTGTACACTTGATTGAGTATGGTAAAAGTGACAATTTGAAGAAAATGTACGCTCACGAGATGCAAATATGGGATAAAAGATAAAATTAAAAAGTGTATGGAAACGAAAAGGAAATTTTACGATTCTGCTTCACTTAAACCAGACGCACCACTATCAGAATTGAGAGGAAACTACTATGTGTATTATTAAGACATTAAGATGCATAAAAACATGCCTGCAACGAACGAGAGCACATCTACACGACATAGAAAGTCAATGAACAAGTTTTACCACAAATAAGAGCTACTGGGCTCAAGTTGCTAATTACAAAACAAACTATTAATCGAACTAGGCTAAGAACTTCTGAGACATCAATAAATCTAAAGCGCAATCAATGGAGACAATAGGCAATATTTGTAAAATGACAGTTTGTGATGATGAAATTTAGAAAACAAGGAATATCAGGAAATAATTAAATCATAAAAGTAAATGATAATTCGAACTCACAGAGTTTCGCATAATCTCCAGTGATTTCATTCTTGGTTCCACTAGAAGAAAAAAAACATGCTCCAATCGATTGAAGAACTAGGTAAAAGTTAAGACCAGGTCAAAAGGGGAATCAACAAAATCTATCAAATCTAACCAGAGGAGGTATTCGTTTGGCATTAAATTTTAAAGACAGATTAAAGCATATCAGAAGAAGAAACTTACTAGTCATAGAATTGAAAACTCCCAAACATCCCGGGTAAATCATACGAACTCCTATTGAATTTGCTAGAAGCCAACTAAAAGAGCAAAAAGTCACAAATATGAAAAATAAATCTTACAGAATCGGAGACAAAAGGGTAGGCTCTTTGCATCTAGGAGGAATTGATTTCCGTTCAAAACGCAAATTAGGTTCTAAGTCACGAACGTCGAATTGAGCCGGCCAAGGATATCGAAATCCGTACAGTGTTAATGCATCCTAAATTTCAGTAAATCAAGAAATATAAAAATCCAACGATTAGATTTTGATCCATTTGATCCTCCGCATTTAGATAGGTTATCACAAAGCGCTTGTAAATCGGGTTGGCCAGACGGACAAGTCCTGAGGAAAATTATTAATTAAATAAATTACTTAACCTACCTCTAATAACGAAGAGAGAAAAATATACAGAGTAGAAATAAACTCCAAATTTGCAATAAGAATACAGATAACTAAGTTGGAGCACTATATTTAGAAAAAAAATATTTTTGAAAAAGAAAAAGTTACATTTCGGAAGAGTGAATGGAAGCCAGAATAATGCTGTCCATTTAACAAATAAAATTGCAATCCTTGAGACGTTTATTCCGTGAGAAAGAATTTTTTCGACAAATTTAGGGGAATAAAGCTCAGACTTGAAAAAAATCATTTCAAATACGGTTCTTACGGGAGTTCTAAATCCAGTCGGATAATTAAATAAATCCGGTCCTGTAATCGCAAATATTATTTTTCTAAGGAAAAACTGGGCAGAGGACATGCTAAAATATAGAAATTACAAAAAATAACACTATAAAATCTCATCAAAAATGTAGGCAAACTACAATTCGCAAAATAAGGTATTAATTCGAACAACTTAATATATATATACATATATATATAACCACCAAATTAACAGAAAATAACACAATTCGTAATAACGATGCAACACTAACCCTAGCGAAGTTCGCAGTTATTAATGATACGATCCGTCGCTAATCTGATATTGAAAATGCGGAATTTGTAATTGTCCACTATAACAAAAGGAATAACTTTCAAAAGGTAACAAATATCATCTGTAAACGATTAGGCTGATTTTACGTGAATTTTAAATTTACAGTGGTGTTGTAAAATGTGGCAACTACAACTCATATTAGATAGCTCAATGATATACATTATGCAAATAAACGGAAAGCCATTACTCCCATTTGCAATTGTGATTGTACATAAATGGCCCTTTGGTATCCAAACATAATTTGATACAGAGTAAATATCACTTTTAATTAATTATTCTGTGAAAAATTAATGAATTCGCTGTCATTTTATTTATGACAGCACTCTAATTTTTTGGATATTAGTAACTGTTTACTTATCTTTCCCTTTATACATTAATATCCAATAATTTTTCACGTTTTTAGCGTAAGTATTAATTATCCATACCACTTATTTATAGTAAATATTGTTAACCGTTTCTGCATATCCTCGGTTGCTCTGTGGTAACCCAATATTTCCTTTTGATCTTGGTAAATAAAATACGATTTGAAAAGATAATAGAAAATTGGAGTATTAATAGTTTACGTGATATCCATTGCTATTTTTATCTCATTATTTCCATCTACAAAGGCGTTGAAATTATTGAAACTCCCGTTCAGGCTTCATTAAGAACTTTATAAAAGGAATTTTCTATCCGTGTAGGTGAACAATAGAGGTAAACAGCTCAAGAGGTCATGATTTTTGAATGGAAAAAAATTGGAGAGTTTTCTTACTATGAGGATATCAAGGTTGACCAACACTGTTTTATGCATCTGATTTTTGAGCTTTGCCATGTATCCTTGTATTCTCACTTCTTCTTACAATAGAGAATAATAAGACTGAGTAAGATGTCGCATTGGAGAGATAGGAACAACTGAAATTGTGGGAGGGTGGGGGGGGAACCAAAGGTGTATGTTATAGAAGACTAAGAAAGGTTATTTTACTGAAATGAATCGTCAATCACTTGGAGGAAGCTAGTATTGAGAATACTGCTGTGGCAGACAAAATTGTTATAACCTCAGGCCACTTTGAATATGAATTCACCAGGATATGATGAGATTCTCTCGATGGATCCAGCAAGCCTGAAAACGCGCGATATTTTAACCATATATGCTTTTAATAATTTCTTAAACTAATATCAAATGAACATCGATTCAAAAATATCAAGAGGAACTTATCATCCTGCACCCGCTTGGTTGTATTGATCGATAGAAGAAAGGTGAAATCAAGCCAACATTTATTAAAGTACAATTCAGTAAGTCGAGTTGAATGGTTGAGCGAATGTCCCCACATGTATTAGAAAGTAATATCGGCAACATGTGCATTATTATTACTTTAGTTGATACCCATAGTTATTCTATGTTTTGTTCTAATATTTCTTACGATTTTATTCCCAAACCGTTTAAAAGATTGTGCGAGACCACAAAAAGTTTAGCATATTTGTGAACACTTAATGGTTTAGGGCAAAACTATTCCCTCCGTTGAATCTAGAAACATAGTTAGAATACTACACCGCAGTGGACAATATACGGGTAGATCCTAATTAAAACTATGCCAATCTTCTCAGGCAAAACTCTCTCATCCCCAAAATTAACATTAGGTGCCTCAAACTTACTGGGGAAGCTCAGCATATGAAGTGAATAGGGTTTATTACAAAAGTTAGCCATTGGCTACAAACTGCGCTCCGCCGAATCACAACTATTATTGATTGTGAGTGAGTGAGTGAGAGATTTCTGCAATCGTGACCGCACACATGATCTATACACGATCAGTAACACAGCCTCACCTTCCAGACTATTCTTTCTTTTTTCAGTCTTGCTATTGTTCATGAGCTCCACACAATATCTATTTGCTCACTCGTAATAAAATACAAATTACTATCAGGTATTTTTTAGATTTTAAAATATATTTTTCTATTTACCTAATCTTGTGCAAATAGTCTTAAATGTAGTATTAACATTTTTCCAGTCATACAATAAGGTACTGTAATTCCTCTCCTTTTATGATGACATTTATTAGGAGTAAAAACTATTGTCAAGGGAATTACATTCGGTTCATCATCGATTGGGATTGAAATTAATCTAATTTGCTGCAAAACTTTACGAATTTTTAATCCTGAGAGAAGATGGACATAAAAGGACGAATCAACTAATTCGATGTGTCATAAAAAGTGGGGTATAAGGAGTTAATTATTAGCGAATGATGCTTAACTTTGATGGAATTCAGGGTCATCGAACTCTCTATACTCTCACGATGGAAAGACCCATGTGATGATGTCCCATTGTTCATTTGTCTTCATTATTTATCTTCCTGTTCATTGAGGGAGATTCTGTCCACAATACTTTGAGCGTGGACCCACGTGGTGCACCCTGGGCAACGTATATTCATACGGCAAAAAAGTCTATTGACTGGCAGTTGACTTCTCACTTCAAATTACCATCACCTCACCCTATGCCATATTCGAATCTTTTCACAGTACTCACCTCACCTTTGTCCTACCTTTGTGTCTGTCTCTTACATCTTTGAAAC